AAAATATACAGCGATACTACACACCAAAACATCTAATAAGAGATTTGTTATCCAACTGCTGAAGTAAATATATGTATCAATGAAAGAGAGAGAGTGTGACAGTTTTGCGTGCGCGCACCGACCTGTACTGCAAACAGGTTTCTTACTGCACAAATATGGCAAACAGGTATTCTACTGCACATCTGGACGGTATTCGCAGTATTATCAGTATTGGACCGGAACTAAATTGAAATTGAAGCTTATGCGGGGGAATATCATTAAAAAGAGATTAATGGAATTTGCATTTCAAAAGACTTCCAGCATTAGCCTCAGTTGCAAGCTACTTCCAGTCCAATACCGAGTATAAGATTATGGCCTATCAGATAGTTCGTGCACGCTGTTTATTGGACAGTTGTGATTGAATGAGTTCTTTTCGCCTGCATCTCTGTCAAAAGCAAGCCTAAGCCTTGTGTTTTTATTCATGGTCATTGTTATGGTTAACAAGATGTTATAGCGGAGCTCCGGCGGCCCGAAGGGCCGCCAAGCGGAGCCCCATACACATATAGGACTGAAAAGGAAACCCTTAATGGATTTTCTCATGGTTATCGTGGCTAGCGGTATAGCTTGTGGGGGCGTTCGCAGGACGACGACGAAGTCGCGCAACATGGCGGCCATACTCCAGCTAATAGGTTGACAGAGACATGAACCCTCGGTTTGTAGCGTAACTCTTTGAAATTGGACATCCATGTTATGGTCAATTGACATCTGTCAAAACAAGGTATCCGCTGACCGTATCACGTGACCTTATCGCGGACTCAAGTTTAGAGCTCATCGAGGTCACGTGTTTTTTGAACTTGACCGCTGAAAAAGTGCTGGTTTTCGATTAGGTCGCGGGCTCATCAGGTTAACTTGCTGGCCGGGTTGTTCGGAAGTCGGTTAACGCTAACCCAGGATTATTATTTATTTATTAATTTATTATTAATAATTTTTCTTGTAGACAAATGTCTTTCACTGTTTTTTGTGCATTTTTTCAAGGTGATCTCAAAACAGGCTAATTTACCTCAGGATACTCTGAAATTAAGCTGTAAATGTCGGGTGCTGACAAGCTGAATGTTTTATATGCAAAAGTTTCACTATTCTTCGTTTAACAATTATATCCTGTCAAAGTTTGAAGGAAGTATGAGTTATTCTAAAACTCCGGGATGTACGAAGCGTGACATACCTATAGTTAAAAGCTATTTTCTTAATTGTGGGACCTGATCTAGGATCAAGTCTATGAAAACTCAAAAGTAATAGCATCAATGCAAAAACGTATTGAATAAAATTTGTGGGAATTCTCCACTGTGCGCCGTACAGAGCTTGCCGAGTTTGCCAAATTTTCGCCATTTTGATGGTAAAAAAAAGATAACAGCGGTCGAACCTACAACAAATATAAATGAACCGTAAACTAAAGACAGCTACACGTCAAATTGTGGATTTTAAATAATATTTTCCTGGATTTAGCCGTTGTTTCCGGGAAAAAATCCACCTTTTGAAAAAGTATAAACTATGAATATTATTTCCATTGATATGCAAATTACAGAAGCCGGATGAGTTTGTGTTGCGATGGGATAACAGAATGCCACATTACCTTCTGGGCAAATAATTGTTCCTTATCCATGGAGAAAAGAACTCTAATTCTCCGTGTAAAAGATTTTCCTAAGTTGGTGAGTTCCTCTCATTTCACACCAGGCAGTAAAGCAATGTCCAGTTGTTCATTTTAGTTAAACTGTATATGACACCTTTTTTTTTTAAAGTATTTTCCTTCCTTGATATATGTAATAAACGAATAATGTTTTGAAAATGCGAAAAAAAAATAAAANGGGGGGCAAATACAGCCAATTTTCCTGTAAAAGTGTTCCGGGAAACTGAGGACGAGAATTGTGTTTGTGACGTCACAGTGTTTGATATCATTGCTGTCGCAGGAAGCCGCCTTATCATTTCTCCTGCACCTGGCTTCAAATGTGCCAGTGATTTGCTAGGTAGTAACGCTAATTTTCGACCCGTCTCATGCTTCAAACGTTTCCCTTCGCTTTCAGCCATATTGGTTTGTTTATCAAACACAGTGACGTCAGAGACGTAAATCACGTAACATTTTGGCTGCGCGATCTCTGGGACAATTTCAACATGAAAGTAGCGCGTATTTTGAACGAAAAAAGGGGTTTCAAAATATTCTCACGATCTAAAAACTTTACAATCGTTTTTCTAACATTATTAACGATCAGCATCAGCGGGAAAAAAAATTGTGTCATATACAATTTAAATTGAATTAAGACGAGTCTCGAGAATTTCCCTAACACCAAAACATTTATGCTGCTGGACTTATTTTAGTTCATAAAGGTTTGCATTGGTTTATTTTCGCTGGAGTATAATATCGAAAAGAATTTTGTTTTGATGTTCAAAATGTCAGTGTGGAAAAAAATTACATTATTAATGAAACAGTGAGTTTATTAACGAAAAAGTGCGTGGCGAAAAAAGCAACAAACAGTACAAAGAAGTTCCTCTTCTTGGTCAAAATATTGCAGGCTGAATTGGCGTCATTTTATGGTCTTTATGACTAAATTCTATTCTTTTACTCTAACAAAGGGCCCACTTAACTTACAATTCCATGATTCACTTTTATGAGAGACATCTCCGAAAGAAATCAACGGAAATTATGCACATCAAAAGCACTCATTTTTAGAATCAAGGGGTTTAATCGAAATGTTCATAAGTCATCTTTAATGGCAGTGAACAACACTGTTTACAACCGTACGCAATTTCTGAGTCGATTCTTTCCACTGAATGATTTCAATGGGACAAAATATTCTGGTGTCACAGTGTGTATTCTCGTTAAAATAACTTCAAAATTTCTACGATGAACATAAGATAATTTCTAAACCAGTGAACGCAAAATACGGAATTAACGGCGGAGATAACTGTTTAGTAAAACCTTCATTTCACCACTTCATGACGTTACGTTTTGTATTCGCTTTCCCATCCTCACACTGATGCGCCCGCCCTCTTCCATCTTTAAGATAAATAAAAAAAATAGAAATAAACATCGCTATATTTACGTGTTTATGGCACAAAGGGTAGAAAGGCCGAGCAAACAACTGAAACAAATGATTCCAATTGAACATAACATATCTTGGGTTATGACGTGACTAAGCCGCCATCTTGGATATTCAATCCTTCCTGGGTGACAAAGCCACCATCTTGAATTCGTCTCAGGGTGACAAAGCCGCCATCTTGAATATTCGATTTTTCCTAGGGTGACAAAGCCACCTTCTTGAATTCGTCTCCGGGTGACAAAACCGCCATCTTGGATATTCAATTCTTCCTACTAAGGGTGCCAAAGCCACCATCTTGAATTCGTCTCCGGGTGACAGAGCCGCCATCTTGAATATTCAATTCTTCCTGGGATGACAAAGCCACCATCTTGAATTCGTCACTGGGTGACAAAGCCGTCATCTTGAATATTCAATTCTTCCTAGGATGACAGAGTCACCACCTTGAATTCGTCTCAGGGTGACAAAGCCTTGAATTCGTCTTAGGGAGACAAAGCCGCCATCTTGAACATTACGTGCGCCCAAGGGTCATGCCCCATATAACTCGTTTAATTAAAATTTAGTCAGTATA